TCTCGGATAGGGACGAATAAATGGAGGTCCTGTCTCCTGCAGGGTTAGGGGTAGGAGACGTTAATTTCCCACACACGAGATTACTGTGTGATAGATGTCCTCCCCTGGGTGGGATGGGTGGGTGCAGATAGAGGACCACCCTAATTAACTTAGTGTTACTGGTGATATCCTCTGTAAATAAAATATTGTTTATTAAATTATTATTATTATTATTATTATTATTGCCCAAGTGCAAAGGTTGCGTGTCATAAATTTGAGGGAAAAAAAGGTTAATCTTTAACTTACTGCACAGACTGACAAATAGAGGTTATACTAACTATGCCTCTGGGTTCAAATTAATAGAGGGGAATATTTCACTTTAAACAAACTTTTGCATTTAGCAGGCGATACAGTGAAAAATGGCATTTTTGATTGAGCAATCATAGCTCCCGCCCCCCTCCCCAACCTGGTGTGTATGCTGAGCTCACGATAACTCAAGTTAGGTGTAACATTTTAGAAAGATCTATCCCACTTATTTGTTAACATTTTTCAGCTGGCATGATCACTGAAAGACTAGAGAATATTTTCAAGCTGTTGGTTATTAATTCTTGTGAATTAATTAAAAACTTATTTGATTGCAGCAAATGTGAAAAAAGAACTTCGAAAACTGTCTAGTATTCAACCTCTGGTTGAGCTATTAGGTCCTGACGGTGAGTTTAAAGTAAAGATAAAATATAAATCTGAACCAACAAATTTGGATTTAATTTGTAACAATTATCAGATACGAATCCCGTACAGGCCTGATTTTTTTCAGGTGCGATTTTCGTTATTGCATAAATGGCGCTCTCTACTGCGAGGATCGTGCATCATACATATTTGTAACAATGTTAAAGAGCAACTGATCTTAATTCATTATTAGTTGAAATGATATGAAATATTTTTTATCACTTACATTCACTTACTTTTATCATTTTGCAGAGGATGTTTTGTGTCATGAATTTGCAAGTTTGGCTCTTGCATCAATGGCAGGTGATTAGACACTCCATAATTTGGATGTAAAAGCTGCATTTATTAATCAAACTGTATTATCAGTACAAGTACATATTATATGCTAAAGTTGTAGGTAATGTTATCTTCTTCCACAGCTGAGTTTTCTTGCAAAGTGGAGATTTTTGAACTAGGAGGTCTTGAAGCAATTATACAGCTTCTGTCATCCACTGACTGTGATGTACAGGTACGTAGTAGGTTTATTCTATCTGAGCTCCTTATTCCTTTTAGCTCTCTAACTCCCAAGATATGATTGTTTCTCCCTTCCAGCTACCATAAATTTCCTTGTAAATTAGTTACAAGAATGTGATATTAGATCCAGATAACAACTTGCACCTGATAAGTTTGAATATTCTCATTACCTGTTTGCTGGATAATGTTTAGATATTATAGGGAGAAGTTACACATTCATCACCTCTGGGAGTTTGAAGGGTTTAATTAAAGGAATAAAGCTTTTTACATCATTCTACAGATTGTGATGTACAGGTTTTTAGTTTATACTGTTTGTTCTACCCTGTATTCCTTGAAATGAGTAAAGAAAACAGACAGAATATAAAGAATTACTATTATGTTCAAGAAGCACAATATAATGGCAAAAGAGCCATGGGAGGCTAGACTGCCAAAGTCATTTGGTAATATCATTTAAGTTGAAATTGTAAATTGGCCACCGTAAAGAGTTGAAAAGCTGATGTTTCGATCGTTAGCCCTTCGTCAGATGAAAGGCTAACATTTGAAATGTTAGCTTTTTAACTCTTTACGGTGGCCAATTTACAATTTCAACTTAGTTGATATTACTAAATTACCTTGTTACCCTCACCGACGCAGCACTACAGTTTCTTTAGAAGCTTACCCCTCTTAGACCGCTAAGGGTCAACCTGATTCAAAGTCGCAATTACATTATTTATTCATTTTATGGTTGTCTATGAATGTTGTTAGCATATCTTCTTAAAATTAGATTTTTTTTTCCTATTTTTTTTCGCAGAAAAACTCTGTCGAGGCTGTGTCACTACTAGTTCAGGATTACCACAGTAGATCAGCAGTAAGAGAATTGAATGGTAAATATATGGACCTCTAACCATTTTTTATTACACGACTCGGGCAGTCAGAGGGCCCATAACTAAAATCAACCAATCAAAATGCTCTATTGCCAGTCCAATATTCTCTAAGTATTGGACCGGACACTGTCCCGAATGGTCCCGAATGATACCACACTTGTGTCCATTTGAACTTCAGTCATATAATAAATCTCTTATTAACCAAGCTTGCTCGGGACCATACTGGAAGAATATCGGCCCTCAGTCTTTTTTGTACGGACTGAGCGCAGCGAGGTCCGCACTGTCAAGACCTTGGACCGATATTCTCTCAGTACGGCCCTCCCACTTCGTTAATAAGATATATTTACACCCTTGCATCAGTGTGTGTGTATTCTCCATACTGTTCTCTATACATTTCCTGAGGTGCTGACAATGAGAATTTGTTTAACAATCAAGAGCTTCTTTAGTTGGTGATCATTTCCTTAATTCTCCTGACCCTAATGTGTGATTTGGGGGTAATGGCATAAGGAGAAATTGGATGCCGGTCAGTGTGGGGGGTCAAAGAGCTAAAAACCGTTTTTTTTTTTCACACAAAGTTTACAGTGAAACTTTGATGTTTTAGATGAAGTCTTCTGGTACATTTCAAGTGTACATACTAGACACACATGTACACTTGTTTGATTTCATTTCAGGGTTGCAGCCACTTTTGGCTCTGTTAGCCTCAGAGTACGCCATCATCCAACAGCTTGCACTGGAGTGTTTGATTCAAATTACACTTGATGGTAATAACTTATGGCCAACTTATACAATGTAATAAAATTGATAACACATTTTATTGTTTTTTTTTTTAGTATGGGCCATCCCCTACAAATGTGTTGTTTCCCACCATGCTCCTGGAAGTGGGTCAGTCAATCAATAGGCCATCTTGCCTCCCCTTCTCTCCTCTCCAAAAAAATAAAACAAGAAAAAATAAAACAAGAAAAGAAAAGATGAGAATGGGCGGAATTTATCAAAGGGGCTTGGATTGGGGAAAAGTCCATATGCCGAGTTACAAAACGTGGTTAAAATGGATTGCTCACGCACAATTATTTGTCTTCCTAACCCAAACATTTTGGATGATATATACCTGATAAAGAAGTAGAATAGTCCTTTTACAGTTGTGGGCTTGGTGGCCAAGCCTTTGAACAGGAGTGAGGCTAAGGGTGACCTTGATACAGATGTTGCTGCTTTTCAAATGCAAATTACTTTGTTATCATGCTAACTAGATACAGGTCTCTATCACAACAGGGTCACCCTTAGCCTCACTCCTGTTCAAAGGCTTGGCCACCAAGCCCACAACTGTAAAAGGGACTATTAATTGATCTGTATAAAAAGTAAAATTTTGTTGTCATCCTTAAACATTAAAACTGAGATTGTGTATTTAATTTGGTTGTACAATTTTTTTTTGAGAGATAGTGATTCTGGATTTAATTTTATACAAACTGAGATTTACACTGTGAAGTAATGTCGTTTGTGTCTGTTGAGACGAACGATGTATTTTCACAGTCGTTCACTTCCAATCTTTGAAATGTGTCCGTCAGTTTGGAAAAATCTCAGTATGTATAAATAAAAAAATCATAGCATGGAAAGTGCTTGGACGATTTTTATTCTCAAGTTTTCAGTGCAACAAAACTCACTCGTTCGCTGCCATCACACATGGTTTTTTTTTTTATGCATCATAACTCGTACATAAAAACGTTCAGACATAAAAAAAAACCGTTCACGCACTTTCTATGGTATAATCTCTATTTTTTTCACTTTTAACTTGTAAAATTGGGTCATTGAGGCAATAAGAATGAAAAGATACTAAGGGAATGGCCTAATGTGGTTGGGCAAGATGAAACAATACCTATGATCGGATTCGTTACGGCAAGGTGAACCATATCTTGTCCACTTCACATTGATCTGTAAATACTTAACAACATAATTAGATAAATTTAACTTGATTGTATGAATATTGAAAGAGTTCTTCGGACGAATGTCATGGCTTCTTAGCATTACTCAACCATGGCAATCATACCTCATATTCTACAGCTGACAGCAGAGGAGCTTTGCGAGATCTGGAAGGACTGGAGAAACTTGTTGATTTTGTCGGGAACAAGGTGCAGTTGCAAGTAACTCGTGTGTTTACACACTGTTTTATAACTCTGTTTTTTACTTTGAAATAAGCTAGTCCAGTAATATTGTTTACCTTTGTCATTTTAATAGACTGATGCGTTTTCATTGCAGGAATATGAAGATTTGCATGTGCAAGCATTGCAAGTACTGTCAAATTGTCTTCAGGATGTTGAAAGTATGCAGGTAACAAATTTTTCTTGCATGGCAGTTGGCAATGAGAAGATAGAAAGTTGTACCAATTCAAACCCAATTGTCTTTACTACAATGGTTGATATACACTGTACTAGACATTCTAATAATGATTTCATCCTTTATTTTAGCTTATTCAGGCGTCTGGAGGATTGCAGAAACTTCTTGCTTTTGCTGCTGAGTCTAGTATTCCTGAAGTTCAGCAACATGCGGTAAGAGATTCTAATACCCGTTTCCACAGCCGGACCGGGATAAATGAACAAATGTAGCTCGTGAGTAGGACTTCATTATGAGCCCTGCGGAACGAGCGTTTGTGTGTCGGTGAGAAGACAGAGCTGAATAACGAAATGTTACGTCAAAGGTATGCGGTCAACAACGCGGGCTTAAGCGTGCGAGGTTTAAAAGTTAGCGAATTTTGCGAAAATGACAAGAAGCTGTCATTTAAAACCGAGGCATTTTGTCTCGTCAAAGGCATTTTCCTTTTTCCAATTTTTAAGAGGAAGATTAATTTTCGGAAATATTTAGGGGGTGTACAGAGTTTGTGGAGGTTGTTCTGTAAAAGAAAAGCGGTAAGGAAAACAACGCCTCGAAACAACAGAATAGAAAATCAACCATACGAACGACGCAAAATCCGTTTTTCCGCGCCAAAACTTAGCGCGTGCGCAGACGTTATTCAGCTCTGTCTCGCGGGAAAGTGTGAAACCTCGAGAAATGCGAGCCCACGAGAGGTCAGCGAAGGGTCTAGTGCCAGATTCCCGGCAAAACTCTCTTCAATTCATCTTCAACCTTAGGCGCAGAGACGCGTCCTGCTTCGCTGCTAATGATGGGCTGCTTGTAGGCTAATGTATGCATGACCATTGGACTTTCTTTATCTTTATCATTTACTCGCACCTGATTGCTGGGCTTCTTCTTCCCACGTGTAACTCTCTTTCCTTCGTATCTTTCAGGCAAAAGCTATCGCCCTTGCAGCGAAAAATGGTAATGTTAATTATTTATTTCTTGGTACCTACAGCATCTAGAAACAAGGTTTCGACAATTAAGCACAAATTATATCTGTGATGTTGTAAGATCTGGACCTGTGGGAATTCCCCTTAAGTGGCCCTGATGTTTAAGCGGGCCGCCGCGATAGGAAACGGCTATGTCCGTTTAGCGATTATGATATAAGACGGTAGAACTGATCATGTTGACTAAAGTTTATAGTTTTGTTGCTACATTTTACAATAGGGGATTTATCACTTTTTCTTGTACGCTCTTCGCACAAAAGGCACAAAAGCTGGTTATCAGTGAGCTAAGCAATAACCTCCATTTGGTGCAAAAATATGTTCAGAAAAAAAGTTTTTTACAATTGCGTGGCAAAACAGTTTCACGAGCAGCTTCAGGCAGGTCAGAACCATTTTTGGACGTTGGATATTGACTTTCCAGGGTTCTCGTGTACGGCTTTACGAGCGGACAATATTGTTCTCTCTCTACCGCAACAGAAGCAAAACGCTCTCCTATCGTGCCTCAACTTTCCAACAAATATCGTGATCATAATGGTGTGAGGTTTGAAATTTAAGGAATATCACTAAAAATATCGCGGATATTCCAAAGTTTTTTGCTGGAGTTTATTCGGCCTCGTGAAGCGTTTTGAACAATGGGCGGATGGGCGAAATGACTGATAGATTAGATTACGTATAAGTTTATTGCATATCTCGTATTCGTAATGAATAATTTTTGATTTTTTTTTTTAGGAGAAAATCGTAAAATCTTTCATGAGCAGGAATGCGAGAAGACGTTGATCATCTTATTGTCCATAGAGGTAACTTGTGTTTCTTTATTTGTCAATTCTGGCCGTCAACACGGCGAGTGCTCGCTGTGGAATTTTTCACTTGTTAGAGTTTTCGTTAGAGGTCAGGTTTAGGTACGTGTTTTATTTAATAAATGTCCGTTACATGAATCATCCCCCCCCCCCGAAAAAAGGCTCTAAATAATTCTGTTTTTCTCTATGAAGATAACTATAGCCAAATTCGCGAGTAACTGACCCGCACAAGAAGGCAGACACGCAGGGATATTGGCCCGGGGGACTTCCGTACTTGCATGTGCTAGTCTGCAACACTCGCGCCCCTTAAATCGAGGACCTACCCCCATGTTAAGATAGCTAGGAACGAAAATTCTCTAAGCAGTTACAAGGGAATTTAAATACAGACGTCCTTTATGAGTAAAATAGGAGGAAAATACGACTACTTTAGGTGCGCTTTGGCATTAACCAATCTACTGGAAAGTCTTACTTTTTGTAAGTAAAGACCCATCTGAAAACCACGTCTAGTGATGGAGACCTACTCCTAAGGTGTCCACATCGTGAGAAAAACGATCGCATGTCTGTTTCAAAGTGTTATTTACCAAGATGAATAACCACAACCTATTTTACGGTATAAAGATGTAGTTTATTGTAAATTTTATTATTAACTTATGGCCACCGCTCACACCTAAAGTGTGTGTATTCAAGCGTCCTGATAGTATTCTGATGAATTCTTTTTGAATTTTTTTTCCCTGTTTTTTTTACCAGAACCCTGGTGTCCAGGCCTCGGCTTCTTTAGCCCTTGCAGTTATGTCTGAGAACCTTAGCAGCAGAGACGTAATTGGAAAACTTGGTAAGAACCAAAGAATTCTTTCAGCTCGCTTTATCTTTGACGCCTACACGAAAATGACTCCTTAAAAATTTTGGTTCAGTAATATGCAGCCTTAACCATACATAGTTCTGAAAAAACCCTAAAAATTCCCTACCTTTCCTTTTGCAGAAGGTATTTCGCCATTGATTAATCTTCTCACTAGTGACAGCCCGGACGTAAGAGAAGGAGCAACACTGGCACTAGCAAATATCACCACTTCTAACAATACGAACTGCGGGTAAGAGATAGTTTCGATTTCCGCCGCTTTCTCTGGTCCGGTCTTTTTCGTTCCTCCCTGAGAAGAGACAGCCGTCTCTTCGGGAAGGAGCGTGGGCTCCGTTTTCCGGTTTGCTTTTCGATGGAATGTAGTAAAACCAAATAATATCAATCACAACAACCAAACAGGAGAGGAAAAAATTCTGTAAAGAGCCAATGAGAACTCAAAGTAAAAACAACCAAACTGCGTAAAGCGCGGGAAAACGCGGACGTCAAATCCGTGATTGATTTCAGTTCTGTATCTGATTGGTTGAGAGAGTGGCGCGATTTTTTTCTGGACCAATCACCGAGTGAAGTAAAGAAAACCAGTGTAATCTCAGATTACTGTCGACACCCGCTTGAAAACAACTCTATAAGGAAATCTCTCCATTAAAAGAGACCGGGCACTGAGGGTAAAAGTTGAATTCATAGTTATACCAATTATCATCCCTGAAACAAACCTGAAACATGTCAAACTTACATGGTGAAGTTGCAATCCAGTTCGCTCTTCGTCAAATTTCTCAATCCGTGCCCTCGTAATCGCCACGTTTCCCACACTGTTTCTTCTCTGTTTTAAGTTTGGTTTTTGTAGTTAATTCGCGTCAGTGGTCTGATCCAATTGGCTAAATTTGTGTGATTTCGTGCAATTATAGTGACGTGGTAGACAAGGGAGGAGTTGATCCGCTGATCACTCTCCTCAATGACGCCAAGCCTTCTGTTCAGGCCAATGCAGCTGTATGCCTCACCAACCTGGCAACAGAAGGTAAAACCAATGTAATTCCTTTCTCTTACAGAGAAAAAATAAACAACTTGTGTTGATTTCATGGAAAAATTATTTTGTTGTCGCGTAAGTCCTGGATAATTTCTCGTTTAGCGCTAAAAGACGCACTGAGAACTGTGCAGCGCACCTTGCAACACAACATCAAAAACTCCAATGTGAATTAGCGGCGTAGGCGCTCTTCCCCACGCTTGACGTCTTGTCATCTTCTGCCGCGCTTCGCATCTGATCTATACCTTCCAGCGCTTCTTTGTAGCACCCGTACCAGGCTTCGCCACGATTTGCGCCGTTTGCGTGTTTTTGACAACTTGGTGTGTGTCACACCAGTTTCCATGACCTTGACCTTACTCTTGTTGCATGTTTTTCCGTGCCTTAGTCATAACTAAATACTTGAGTTTCCGTTTTTCTGTGATCCATGCTTTCTTTGCTTTTTTGTTGATTTTTACTCTGTTTCGTTATTTCAGAGTCGTGGAGGTCAGAGGTGCAACAAAGAGGCGTTGTGTCTGCCCTTGTACAAGCTTTGCAATCCAAGTAAGAAAATCATGAATTGGTTCGCTATTTTTCAACAAGATACCAGACAGAATTTCATGCCGGCGCAAGTTCATATTGAGTGCTTTCGCTCTGTATTTCTTTTCGCGAAACCAACAGAAAATTTCGTGCCGGTACGAACCATACCGACCCGAGCTCGCCAGACCTACTATACCGGAGATAGTCTCATTGATTCTGTAACGGAATCTTGCAACTGTATCAAGTCAACGAGGGAAAACCACACGTTTCGGTGTGAAACTCTCCCCTCTGTAAGGGGACTGGAGCTATTCGTGCATGCTAAGTTTGTGTCAATCAAAGATTGCTTCGTCACGGTAGAAGAGTGTGAAGAAAACAGACGTGGTTGTCGCATTCGCTCTGACGAAGGGCTAACGCTCGAAACGTCAGCTTTTTAACTCTTTACGGTGACCAATTTACAATTTCAACTTAGTTGATATTACCAAATTACCTTGTTACCCCCAACGACGCAGCACCACAGTTTCTTTAGAAACTTTCCCCCTTTATTCATGTAGTTGTAAACATACTACGAAATCATGTAGTCATAATGGTACAGGACATCTGCGAGAGAAGCATCATGTGACATCTCGTACCATTGCTCCGAAGCGATTACCATTCTTGCCCGCATTTTTTTTGTCTTTTTTATCGAGGTCTGCTACGTGTAGAAAGCTCACTGCATGTTTCTGTTTTGTTTTAGTGCGGCAATAGTACAGAGTAAAGCTGGAATAGCGGTGGCAGCCTTTGTGTGTGATGCAGACTCAAGAAACGAGGTAAAAGACGTAAAATTTCACGACTTTATGACAAAAGTAAAGTTTACCGATAATTTATCATAACAGAAGAGCTGAAGAAAACTTGAAGGGAACTTTTTCTTTTGCCGGTGCCAAAGACTTTTGCCTCAGTAATCTTGGTTGCCCAACTCTTAAAATCTTTCAGAAAAATTTAGTTATACAAGTCGCCTAAGGACGAAATATGGTCGCCTGTAGCGCTCGGGCTGTGACACAACACAGCTCTGATATCTTTTGATCGATTTGTGGAAAGCTGTATGATGATTACTGAGAACTGGGAGTCATAGTGTTGGAGGAGCTATGCCAAATATATATATTGCGCGTCGAGTAGTATTTCTTTGTTAACTACTGTTTTGCTGGAGTAGATAAACATCAGCAACGTAAGAATTAAATGAAGAGAGATGGGAATTTCTCAGGATGTAGAAGATTGACTTGGATTGAAAATAACAGACTTGAACAATTTAGGGTTTTAGCTACACTGTGGGTTAGTGGGTAAGGTACTCCACGTGTAACACACCTTACAGCTTTTTGCTAACACTGTCATTCGATTTTTTAATAGTTTCGTGCCGAAGGCGGCCTTCCTCGGTTGGTAGAGCTACTTCGGTCAGGTAATGATGATGTACGGCGGAGCGTGGCCTGGGCTGTCTTACAGTGCGGCAATGACCTACCAACCGCGACTGAGATTTGTAGACTGGGGTGAGTTTACAATGAAGGAAGCGTAGAGACTGAAGTCGTTCTTGTTATTGTTTAAAGGCTGATAGTTTCGAAAGAAACTGTTTGGGGCTGCGTTGGTGGGAGTAACGAAATAATTTGGATATATCAACAAAGTTGAAATGTTATTGTTTTTGTTTGTTTGTTCATGTACTTCCTATTTGCTTATCTCGAAGCATTCATGGGACCAAGGGCGTCGATCCAAAGTTCTCATAAGAAAAGGAGTAATCTAAATCTACTTTCACTTAGAGCCGAACTTGATTATGTTTTACAGGGGATTAGATATTCTTGGAGAGATTTCTTTATCAAATACCCGTCAGTCTGGCTTCGCAAAAGCCGCCATGGATTGTCTGTTGGATAGTAACTTACCAGCCAAGTACGCCATGACCGGCACATTGGGATTTAATAACATCATTCAAGATGGCTTTTATGACTGTGGACCTGTAAGGAATTGTTTCATTTGTCTGTCAGTTCGTCTGTATGTCTGTTTGTTTTGCTTGTCTGATCGTCCGTCTAACAGTCAAGCAGTCAGTCAGTCAGTCGGTCTGTCTTTCCGTCTGCCTTCTGTCTGTCTGTCTGCCTTCTCTCTGTCCGTCTGCCTTCTGTCTGTCCGTCTACCTTCTGTCTGTCTGTCTGCCTTCTGTCTGTCCGTCTGCCATCTGTCTGTCCATCTGCCTTCTGTCTGTCTGTCTGCCTTCTGTCTGTCTGTCTGTCTGCCTTCTGTCTGTCTGTTCGTCTGCTTTCTGTATGTCTGTCAGCCAGTCTGTCTGTCCGGCTGGCTTTCTGTCTGCCTTCGGTATGTTTGGGTGTGTCTGGCCGTCTGCCTTCTTTATGTTTGTCGGTCTGTCTGTCAGTCTCTCAGTCTGTCTGTGTGTTTTGTCCGTCTGTCCGTCTGTCTCTGTAATTCCTTGTATGTAATTGGTTCTTCTCTTTAATAAGGGACATGCTACAATCAACCAGCGTGGTCTTCGAAATCTATTTCCCGTTTCCCTTTATTATATTTTTGGTATAGTCTGTAAATTGTTCGTGAATTAATACTCAGATAACACGCAAATGACGGTTGATTTACCATTAAGATCATATTTTACTTCGTTATTAATTTCAGATGTGTTATAAAAGCAAGCATAGTAAAAGCGAGAGAAAAGAAAAAGTCGTTATTGAAAAGGATATCGTGTACCAATTATAAGTTTCAATTGGTGAATGTCTTTGGAATATTTTATATAAGTACTTACCAAAAACCAGGTTTCGTGCCAGAGAAAGTTTGAAAGTCACTCGTCAGCAATTGATGAGGTCAAAAATGCAAATGTGGCGTGCCAATGTGACGTCATACATTGGGAGAGGTGAAAACGCGCGCGTGCAGATTCAGCGCAGCACGTGCAAGCCCGTAGGAGGAGTTCAGTTTGTAATATTTTGGAAATTTACAAGTGCTTATTACACCAAATTACACTCGAAATCATGTTGGTACTTGTTAATAATTTATATGAAAACAGCATTACAGAAAGTTAAGACAGACGAAATTTTGACAACTCGCGCGCTATTTGTAATTTGCACTCGTGTTACATGAAAAAATGCACTCGTTTTCATTATGGCTGCAAACGAAATCCTTCTACTCTGAAAGTCCAGGCGAAATATTAGAACAACAAACTTGACGTAAAAGAAAGTCTTAAATCTAATTCGAAAAAAGAGGAAAATGGAAACGACAACTTTAGGCTTCCGTGTCAACTTCAAATTCAAGCTTAAGTTAAAATTTAAGGTTCATTGATCGTGATTGCTAAAAGCACGCGTTTCTCGCATGCGACGTAAAACCCAAATAGACCACGAAGGGAAGGCTGGGAAGCACTGAAAGTTTAAAATGTTACAAGTATAATCCCTACAGAGTTCTTAAACTGTATAGCTTGAGCCCGTTTGCCATCTTACGAACCATTCCACTAGCTACGCAGGCTAACGTTTATATTTACAGATTATAATTCGTTTCCGGTTTCTGTCTTGAGCAGATGCGTCCCGACAGTAAGTTCTTAACTCTGGAGGAACTTAGTTTGTTGCCAACGGAGGCACATAGGCCCATTCTCCTTGTTAACTCCAGGAACGCGGACAGGTATGGTTGAGAGCGTGGAAGCAATAAAGCATTTGTTCACAAGCATGGATTGTGTGTAGTTCGGCTAGGATTTGGAGTGCGATTCAATTGAGTGTCGTAAAACCAAAACCAGGGTGATCACAATGGCCGGTCAGAGTAAAGGTTGAAATGACCAGGAGCCTATGAAAATTTAAGACAAACAGTAAGGCGACCGAAAGCGAAGTAAATGTTCTTTTCCCCACGCTCGTCAAAAAACTACTAACATCTTCCTCCATTAATCCTCATTCAGGAAAACTCCTTCGCCCATCCTTGTTATACCCAAGGAACCGGAGAAGAGCTCGGAAAAACCAGGGAAAGGAGGCAAATCAAGCCGAGACACGAGAAGGTATGAATATTTCAGCTGCTTTTACACTATTGAGATGTTTGCTAAACGCCTACATGTACCTACGACAACAATTTATCTAACGGTTTATTTTTCTATTTCGCTTAATTAAGGAAAAATAAAGTCATGCGCGAACGAGAGGAACAGAAACAAAGGGAAGAAGAGGCCGCTTTATCGGAGGTCTCAGCCACGCAGCAAGATGAGGCGCCTAACTGGCAGCCCCCCATGGATGAGGTCCTTCAGGGTTACATTGAGGAGGTTCGAAACACTATTCAGCCGTTAAACACGACCACAGAACAAGCAGAGGCTCTTGGAGGGTAAACAGCTCGTTCCTATTGGGAAACAGAGCTTAACTTTTTCAAGTTTGTCTTTTTTGCTATTTATGTTAATCCTCTACATCTTAAGTTATCTTTGTTCTTTCTTGTTTCATTATTGTCTCTTTGGTGTTTCTCCATTTTACTGAAACAGTATTTTTTGCAACTTCCTCTGCGTTAAAATCAACTTCGCACGGCCCCAAGGCTTCGAGGTCTGTTGCTTGAACGTCCCATTTGGACCAGTTTCTGACAACTGTTTCTGTTTTTTGTCTATCGTGCTTGAAATAGAATTGTTGATAGTTTTGGAATTCAGACAGTGAAAATATAAATTTAACGAATTGACTGGTGTCTGAGTTAACACTCGCTTTAATATTCCTTAGATTAGGATTTTAAATGTATCTTCGTTTATAAAGTGATAGGGAAATTCCAGAAACCTGCCAATGGCTTGCTCAACAAACCAGTGTCTTGCAAAGTGGCAAAGCATATAAGTAGAACTTGTCATCCTAACTATTTTTCTTTTTTGTAGTTTTGTCAGTGACAAGATGGGTGGACCCATCGACCGTGAATCCCTCTCCACCTTCAGCTATGAATTGCCGATCGGTCAATTAAAGGTGAAGCTCAATTCCAACGTTATTCCCATCGGCAAGATACAGACTGGAATATATTATCACAGAGCTTTGCTTTTCAAGGTAATTTTGACCCATTAATCAGTCAACATTCCAGACAAAAGTTATATCAGACATCCTTCGACGAATTGTTTCTTCCTTTTCATTGGAGAAGAGTCCACAGAGTGACCTAAGAAAACTGAGGAGTTATAAGGGTTTGCTCATGCGTAGTACCGTTTAGTGTTCCATTGTTTATGTTATGCTGCTCATGCATAGTCGCGTCCGTGCTCTACCTTAAAAAAATGACGCTTGGCTTTATTAAATTGTTAGATGCTGATTTCTGACATAGAGCAAAACAGTAATAACCAATTATTGAGCGAGTTGAGCAAAATCACCTGATATCTTAGTGGCGGGTGGGTACATTATTTGCTGAGGCCAATGGCTGCAAGACACTGAAAAATCATGAAATTCTACGACGGTTGATTGTTGCAGAAAAAAGGTAATAGTAAGAAGTTACGTCAAGCTCTGGCAGTGAAAAGAAACTCTTGTCCTCTTTTTCTCCGAGACTTCTGTTGTCTATTGTGATATCTTTTGGTTTGGTTAACTGATGATGCTTCTCTCTCTCCAGGCTCTTGCTGATCGCATTGCTTTGAGATGCTCGTTAGTCCGAGGAGATTATAACAGAGCTTGGAACGAGGTGATGCTTTGTGACGGAGCGAAGGTGAGGAAAGTAGCATTATCGGTTTGTTGTGAAATCCAAGGACACCCAAAGACGTAAGCGACGGCTTTCCTGCGTTATTACACTCTGTTAAATTGAGTGTCCAAGGCCAGAGAATAAGTAATAACAACGGCTAGTCACGGCAGAGGAAAAATATCATAGAGTCTATAAGAACTCAATGCAAAAGCAAGAATACTACTTGAAACGCGGGAAAACTGTAGTGACCAAGACGTCGCGATTGCTCTAGTCTTACACCTGATTGGTTAAAAGGATGGTAGGAGCTTTTAAACCAATCATGGAGCGCTGAAAGTAAAACCGTTAGAATCCCGGATTTCCTCTGACATCCAATGGAAAATTGATCCGTCGCGCAAACGGAATTCGGTCTTGCTAATGAAGACTTCGATTTATAATGCTATTCCTGTCTTTTTCTGTCTTGTTTAGGATGGTCAGCCCAAGTTCCCTCCAAAGAGTTACATCGTCGATCTCATGCACTACCCTGGACGACTAATGAGTAAAGACTCGCCCGAGGCCACTCTCTACCAGAGGCTTTAGTTCAGTTTAGAATCAAGCTGACTCACTATCGAAGACGACTTTACAAAGAAGTATTCAAATGACTCACGACATTGCGAAGCTCTTGACACTTGGAAGAATATTTGAGGAAATGGCCTTTTAGATCAGATATTTTCTGCCGGTAAAGAGCCGTGACGAAATTCCACCTACGAGTGTTTTCCACGCTTTTTTGCAATTTGTATCTGTGGATTTATACAAAGTGTATGTTGCTAAGTTTTGTGTAAAGCTGGTAAACTCATTGTGCTTTCTTATAGTGGGCCGAGGTTGTTTTAGGATTGTGTCCATTTGACAGTATTTATGGAAACTGGAAGCGTTCTCGTTGTATATAGTGTATTATAAAACTTCATATTTGCATTCGTTTGATAAGTATTGTTGTAATACTAAAAAAAACTAGATTTAGATTTGATTTTATGAGACACTGTTGCGGCTTTTGTTCGAAGGAAAGAAGCTGCAGAGAGTGACACGCTTAGCAGAATGCAGCAATGACTCTAAACCTCTCCAATTTATTATTTTTGTTTTTGTGCCATCTCCTACAATTCTGCTCGCAGCGGATTCACTTTTCTCGCATTTCTACCCTGTGGCCACACTCTGACTCTGTATCTAACTGAATCTGATTGGCAGTTACTCTGACTGTCTATGGCTCTCTCTAGCTGTAGCTTTTGGTATCGTTAGACATGAGTGGGTATGTGGGCCAACCGACCAAGGAAGACCATGGACGGTTAAACGTGTTTCATCAGTACACAAAGCCAAATACTTTTAATAGGACAAAGCTTGAGCCCGTCTTTTTGTTAAGTAAGACCATTAGATTTGTACGAAAGAAATGGATTATTCACTCTTAATTTCTTTGATTAATCGTTAATTCGGGCCTCCTTGTCAGCTATTACGCGGTAAGAATCTTGGTCTTATCAAGTAATTGTTAATTTTAAACCAACGCTTTGCCCACAATTTGACCTCCTTCCTTCCTGTAATGTTGTGCTTTGTTTTTTCGCTTTTTCTTGGCACTGCATGGTGTAAAGAGGAAAGTGGGCTACAATTTGCTAATCATCGAAACCTTGTAATTAAAATACAGCTTTTTATCAATTTTGCTGCTACGTGTGACAGGTTTGCATCATCAGAAGTCACAACAATAACACAGTCATCAATTTTGTTTTTTGCACTATTAGTCACGAGTTCCCAATGTATGTATAATAAATCAAACCCAATATTGCTTTTTAACCAGCTTATCTTGGTGTAAAATTGTTTGATTTTTAGGACATGATGCACTTTCATGAGTATTATGTCGCGGCTAATAAGCACCAGGTTTATGAGCCGTTTAACCTAGGTGACTTATTTCTTTCTGGGGGTCAGGAAAATAACAGGAAACATTAGCTTCAAATGGATGGTTTTGATGATGCAGCTACAACTGCCAACTACAATGTGTAAACAACAACTGAAAATTATTCATTTAAAACTCTCGCTCGCAAGCGCTCTCAGAAAGCAGACATCGTCGAATGTTACAGTTATTTATCACTTCGTATTAGCAGCATCTGCCATAACTTCTCGGAAGACTAGAAGAAAATATTTTACTTAACAAACGGCCAGGTGTCTGATTAGCCTATCTTTGTTAACAGTGCTAAATGCATTTCTTCTGTCGATAGAATTAACTGTGTTTCACGTATTAGGTAAATATAGCCTGAGAAATACTTCATGGAAAGTGCGCGCGTACTGTGTTTACACACGAGTTGTGGCGTATCAGAAATCGGACAAGTGAGCGAAGCGAACGAGTGAGATTTCTGATACAGAACAACGAGTGTGTAAACACCGTACAAAGCACTTTCCTTGTGGTATTATGTTTGTTATATACATACTGAGATTGAACACCCTCCTTAAATTATGACAAGCTTCATTTAAACAAATGCGGTCAATCAACAATCACTGAAAGAAAGCAGCTTCGTAAAAAGGGAAAGAGTTCAAATAAAATCCAAAAGTTATAAATCGTGGATAACGAAACGCTTTTCGCTCATGGCTTTCGCCGAGACAGGAACTGTCAATATTAACGATGGAAGAAATGCGAATTAAAACTATTTGCAAAGCGATAGCTTGTGCAGTGTACAAAATGCGGTGTGTAAAATCCAAAAGTTATGAATCCAAAAGTTATGATACGAATCGTGGATAACTAAACGCTTTTCACTCATGGCTTTCGCCGAGACAGGACTTTCAATATTAACGATGGAAGAAATGCGAATAAAAACTATTTGCAAAGCGATGGCTTGTGCGAAGTACGAAACCGCGCCGACCGGCCTTGATTGAAAACTTTAACTTGACGTACGGCTCACAAGTGAAAAAACATGATAGGCGGCTCCTGATTGGACGTATCGCTTTTCTCACATGTGGGAAAAGCGATACGCGACATTTGATTGGTTTACATCGGTTTGCGAACGAAAATTTACTCTGCGGCTTTTCAGTGTGTAAATCTCAGTATGTATATAATAATAGGTATTATGTAATATCGATGTTTACGAGCTTTTATCTGTTTACGTCAGGGAGAGGAAAATAACAGGAAACATCAACGCACAGAATAAGTTATTTTTAGGAGGAGTAAATTTAGCAAAAACCATATATTTGTAAACAGGATAACAACTGAAAGAGCGCTCTTTGAAAGCGGTGAACGAAGGGGTTTTGCGAAAGATGGTTTTGCTGACTCATTTTGCACAAACATTGTATTTTTAAATAGGATACTGTTCCAATTAGAAATTATTCGGTTAAAGCTCTCGAAGGCAAACGCTATCGAGAAGCAGATACCTTTATATAGTACCGTCACTTATCAGTACATAATTGCACTAGAGGAAATATTACAATTTTCAAACGGCTAGCAGTACTATTAGCCCATCGTTGTAAAAAGTGGCACGTGTGTGTCCCGAGAGCACTAAATGGGCTATACATGTTATATAATAGGTATTATGTAATATGTTCATGGTCCTTTTAACTTGGGTATGTTACTGTTTATGTCAAAGTCAGGAAAATAACAGGAAACTTTAGCACCCAATAGATGTTGTTTTGGTTATGCAATATCGCGAGCGAGCACTATCTGCTTCGTTGACCAATCAGAATACATAATTCGATTCATCTCATCTGCTCACAATATTACAAGGTGGTATCAATGCCCATTAACTTTGCCCTGATATTGTTCCAATTAATCAGCGTTTTATCTTTTTTTTTTTTTGCTTAGTCAACTATAACACGGCACCGAGACTTCATGTTCAGTTGCTAAAATCTTTACGAAAGGGCAACATTGTCGTTATTTCCTATTTTAGAGATGATAAACTTGACTCAACAAAGGCAGCCCACAACAACGCAAGATTTTTGCGAGGCAAATGAACTCGAACACTTTCATTACATACTTCTTGCATCAGTTAACATTTTCCTTTCCGTCGCTGCAACTGTTGGGAATTTCCTTATTCTCCTCACTCTTCATAAGGAGTCTTCGCTGCATACTCCCTCCAAGCTCTTGTTTCGTTGCCTTGCAATTACAGATCTTTGTGTCGGTCTAATATCTCATCCAATGTTTGCCGCACTGTTGCTATTCAAGACGTACGAACTGCGAACTTTGTGTTCCCCCTTCAACACGTGGGAAACTCTCCTCAGTGTAATTTTCGGTGGAGTGTCTCTGTTGACTGTAGCAACTGTAAGTGTGGACAGACTTCTTGCGTTGAAGCTGGGCCTGCGATATAGACACACTGTAACACCCAGACGAGTTGGTTCAATATTGACCTGCTTTTGGGTTGTGGCTGTAGGAGTCGCTTTCGCAGAACGTATTTGGAATTTCGAAATTTTCACCAACGTGAAGACTGCAGTAATAGTGCTGTGTTTAATGACTTCATTTTTTTGTTACGCGAAGATCTTCCGTCATCTGCACCATCATCGAGTGCAAATGGCAGCTCACTCCTGGCAGCCAAACGGGGAAGGAACTCCCTTAAACATTGTTCGATACCGTAAGTCAGTTTCTGCTGCACTGTGGATCCAAATAACATTACTAACATGTTATCTTCCGAGAGCTTTCACTTACTCATTTAGATCAGCAGCTTTAGCTGGGGAGTTGTACACAGGGTCCCTTGTGCTCTTTAACTCGACTCTCAACCCGTTTCTTTACTGTTGGAAGATGAGAGAAGTGAGACAAGCAGTGAAAAACACTGTCAAACGATGCTGCTCGTGTAGTTAGTCAAAGCAGTTGTTGTGTGTGTCGCTGACAGCAGAGCAACAGTTGAATGTTTTGCCTTACTTCACTCTGTGATCGATTCTAAAAACTTGCGCCACTCTTCAACCAATCAGATGCAAAAATAAACCCACACGTGACTTGGACACCCGCGTTTTCCCGCGTTTATGTCGTTTCTTGTTTGAGTTATAAACAACTCCTTGAGGGATTCGCCTCTGTTCCCTACACACAATCGGTATGTGTTCTGAATTCTGCTGAGCGCTGCTTCTCCTTCACCGGTGTAACTTAAAATTTCGCCCACGTTTTTCACCTGTGTGTCGCGTGACTTCGACACCAGCCTTGATTAGCACTGCTATCAGCGGAGCCAGGGGAATAACGATCTACTGTCAAATAACAAATAAAATATTGTATATTGTACCAGCGTTTTCCTGCGCTTACGTAATTTACTTGTTTCTCATTTGAGTTATAAACAACTCCTTGAGGTATTCACCTGTTACCTTCCAAAAGAGTAAGTCAGGGACGAAGTGGAAGGGAGGGGAAGAAAGGGGAGCGGAGAATTATGGAGATTCGCATGGTTTTCAGCGGGTCCATTGCTAAATTATTTATTATTTCATTATTATTATTTCTTAAACATCGATCAGATATTTGCGGAGGAGGAAGGAGGAAGGTCTTTGACGAATAGTTTGAAATAATCTTACAGGGTGCAAACTCATTGCAAATATTTTTTTTAATTCTAAATCAGATAAAAGAATAAATATTATGGAAACCACTTCTTGCCCACATATCTCGGGTTGAGTTGCCTAAATGCGAAAAATAGCCTTCATTTCTTTGTTTACACGTCGTCTTGGCGACTCATTACAAGTTTTTTTAAACTTTTTTCAGTGTTCTCTTTGATATACCAATAGGTGGTTTGCACGTTACGTCATCGCCGCCATGTTGGTGGACGTAAACAACACACATCTCATTAGTTCCTTTTGTTCGTCCACCAGCATTTGTTCCTTTCACCGTTGTTACCTGTGTCTCTGCAGATTGGTTGCAAACCACCTATAGAACATTGCTTTGTTTATCACAATAAATATATTTACAAATTCCCAGGCACTAAGCATTAGTAAATAAGTACACACTGCTGTCCCTTTTAAACCGTAGACATAAACTGTACAAACTTGTGTTTTACTTTTTTCACAGTTTAGCTGAATAAATATGAGTGTATGTTTTTGGCAAAGAACAAGACTGTTTCCGATTAAGTAACACGTGATAATACACTAAGTGTGATAACGCCTAAAATGTGATCACGCTGTATTACGCTGTATTATTGAAGACAGTAGGGATTTTAAGAAACCACGACGGCGACGCCAAGGAAGACCTCGATTAAAAAATGAATTTCTACTCTTAGTTAGAGTTTCAAAAATGGCTGCAGGAGCTTACTGTCTCATGCAGCGCCACAGCTCAACTTCAGCATGACGTATAAAGTTAGCGTTGAGTTCCAAATAGAAGTTAAAATAATTTGCCGTTGCGGTTCGCAGACGACGCAAATTTTGGCGATCTCACGTTCTTGTTTTGCATAGGACGGCTAAGAAATGTACAAAGTTTCAAAACGCACGTGCTGAGCTATTGTTCTGCCAATTAGATCTCTTGTTTTTCCAAGTCCTCGTTGCCGTCGCCGTCGTGGTTTCTTAAGGTCCCTAGTGCATTATTGAAGACAGTTTATATCATGTCCTACAACAAAGGAGGCACACCGCTGTCATCTTCGTGTTGATCGACGTAAGGTGTCCAGCTCCATCGCTAAGCCCTCCATCTGCCTCGAAGTAGATTCCTGTGGCGTTGGAAACAAAAGGTGAAGAAAAGAGAAATAATGAGTGACCCAGTTAACAGGCTCAATAAGATCGCTTGAGAGTAAAAGACATGCGCAACACTTTCGGTAAGGCAAGAGAACTCTTTTTTTTTTTAACGCCAGAATTACGTTTAATTCATCACCGGCTTATGTTACTTTTACATTTCTTTCACCCCAGTGAAATATACCTTAAGTCTTTCCAGCTTTTCTGTCGTCATCAAGTTATAGTCCCTCTCGGCCTGCAAAGCGTGTTTCATTCCTTTCGTTTCCCAGTGATTCTCGGCCACGTCACTGGCCAGTTTGCTGATGGTCATTCGGCTTGCCTGCCGAGAGAAACATCCTTCAGCCAATGCGTCGATCATTTCGAAGCCTCAACATCACCCCAGGGAACCTTCCGGGCATTTAAACTTTTGAAGATTGGTTCGTTCAATGTATTTTGAAAAAGGTAAGATTAGGTGACTGTGACTTCCTTGTAGACCAACTCTGGGCCATCTGCTCGCAAAAGTGAACCTTTCACCTCTAAACACATCCATATTAAAATATAAAACACGTTTATTCCGCTAGAAAGACTCTAAAATTCCTGTTCAAATTCCCCATCTTACCCAGGCAAGGCTCAATTCCCCCCCCCGCCCAAACCTGGGCACGGGTGACAGCCAAAAATGCCCGTGAATTGCCCAGACGGGATGTTGAAGCGTCGAGTTGTTAGAGCTAAACTTTCCTGTTCGTTATTGTTACGCGTCAGTTCTAAGAACTGACAGAACTGGGTCTCATAGAACTGGCTTTTTACTTTAAGCAAGGCCAGTCAATTTCCACGCTTTTGCACAGAGCAACCGCAGCTTACACTGCGACTTGGAGTATCAAATATCTCGGGCGTTATTGCACATAATCGTCACAATCCTTCCTTCCTTCTTTTCTTACTCTCATCAGTTCCTTGGCTTTTTCTGTGGCTTCGTCGACTTTTCTTTTTTCCTCATCCCTCTTCTTAAAGTTTTCTTTGTTCCGTTTTTCGAGCGCCTCCTGTACTTTTCTGCGGAAGAAAAAGAAGCGTATAAGATGGCAATAGAGTTCGCTGAGGTTCCAGAGACTTCTGCACTGATTTTTCTCTGTGATTGGTCAAAAAATAGAAACTCGCATCCAACTCGTTCTCAGGGTCTATCATCTTCTCGCCCCCTGGAGCGAGAGAGGGCGAAAAGATGAGAGACCCTGGGAACGAGGTTAACTCGCACCGTCACTCAACCAATCACATGTACAGTTACATAAATCGTACGTCAACCAATTGCCTTCCCCAAGCATCCAGCTTCTATAATTTCACTTTCGAGTTCACATTTGCTTCTTTGCTATTTCCTTTTTCCTAATTTGTAGTTGAAAATAATTCGGTTTTGTTTTTTACACCCCGTTTTATGGAGGGTGCTGATGCCATGGAAAATCAAGGATTGAAACTGAAAACGAAATTAAGCTGCGAGTTTACTGCCTTGGTAGAATAGATTAGTCCATTTAATTTTATTTTTACATCTGATAACCGTACCTTGATCGCGTTAACTCGGCCTGCAGGCTTCCAAATTTTTCTTTGAACCATTCTTGGGCTTCGCGTAAATTCTCAGAAACCTGCAAAAAAAAAAAAAACAAACAGAAAAAACACAGAATAGCAAAAATATCATGAAGTGGGCGCTCTTACTTTGAACAATCCTCCTCCAAACGTAAAAAATGTCTGCAACGAATAACAGAAAAAAACACTACCTACAACAGAAACATCAGCGGCGGACATTAACATAACACGTAAGAGTCTGCTGACGGGACAGACTCACACTGTTGCCGGAGCTCAGTCTTGCTTCTGTATGATGGGTACCCCCAAGCATTTCGAGGGACTTTCCCAGACAATTCCCCGGTTCCCATTCATACTCTTATTTGAGAGTTGCATTATGGGAGTAATGTGCCTTGCCCGAAAACACAACACAACGAGCCGACCTGCTCTCGAACCCAGGCCTCTCGATCAAAATCCAGCGCTCGACCAATCTCTTACAAAAAGAGGTTGGCAGAGATTCTTTTACAGAAACCGTGAATGGAACATTTAATCCTTAGAAGGAATAACTTCAACAATGCACAAACCGTTTCACTCACTCTGTTTTGCTCCCAAAGTAACTGCACGAAACTTTGATCAACAGAGGGACAAACATACCTGCTTTGTTTCAAAGTTGGCCTCGGCAAGCTTTTTCTCTGTCTCTTTTCTGGATGTTTCTAAATCCTTTTCTCGTGCTTGAAGTTTCTGTAGTATAAAACAACGCAGCAAACGATCAAACGTGTCCAGAAATCAAATCATTAAGGACAAACAAACCAAGATTTCGGCCTCGGCCCTTGACTTCCACTTGGTGCTAGTTGGGAGCTACTTACTTGTAAACTAGGAAGTCATCTTTTAAGCGAATGAGGCAAATTATAGAAGGCTTTGTTAACCGTTAACCACATTTTGGCCAGAGGGGTGATATAAACCTCACGGGTTAACTGCCATTGAAGAAACTACAGAAAAAGAAGCTTAAAAGAGTAGCGCTCATGTTCCGTGGTATCTGGGTCAACTAGACAAGCAAAGTACCTTGAAGGCACTTAAAGTTTGCGACCTTTAGAGAGAAATTTAATCAAACTTATTTTTCGTCATTCACCTTATACCGTTGTTCCAGCTCTTTTCTCCGGCTCTTTTCTTGCTCGAGTTCTTCCTCTTTGTCTCTGTCAAAGAAAACAAACGCTTGGTTACCACATTTTTAGCGCAGTTTTCAATTGAGTATCGAGAACGCTTGCGCTCTGCTTAACTTCGTTCTGTGATTGGTCTAAAAACTCCCGCCACTCTCTCAACCAATCAGATTCAAAACTAAAATTCCGAATTTCCCGCGCGTTACAAAGTCTGTTTGCTTGTTTTTCTTTGAGTTCTCATTGGTTCGTTGTGATATTTTCCTTTTCCTGGTTGGCCGTTGTGAGTCCCTTGAGTTTGCTTTAGCAATACGCAAGCAAAATGTACTCAAAGTCAATAGAAGTTTTCCAGGTCTACCTTGAGCACATTTAACTTACCGTTGAGCTTGGATCAAGGTCTCTAACTCTGTTTGTAGATCAGCAAACTTTGAGACAAACTCTCCAATTGTTTTGGCCTACGACAACAAATTTTAAAGAAGATCAAATAAAGATTTAAAGAAACGAGTGGTGGAGTTAAAAAGAAAGTGTTAATTCCAATTTGACGTTAGATCGAAGGTGTCTCCTAAAGCTTATATTTTAAGAAAGAGAACTCTCGAATACTTGCGCTGTTACGAGGCTTTTGCGAAAATTATCGAAAACGATCGTGGTATTTCCGACGAAACGAGTGTGGAGTTTACGTGCTATTAAAGGTGAGTCATTGCTACCAAAATAAGAGACTGGGTCTCACGAAATCGAAAGTCCTTTTAAGTGAAATCCAGTAAGACTTTACCTTAACGAAGAACACATAACACAACACAAAGACGCTTAGAAGGCTTAAGTCCGAACCAATCAAACTGGAGTACATGTGTGTGCTTATCTAGCTGGAAACTCTCAAACGGTTAACAAGAAATGCATGGTATTCTGGTGGGACGGATTATATAACATCTCAAACATTTGCATACCTGTTCACTATTCTTGCGCATGTATTCGTTCTTGACACGCTCCAAATTGTTTAATTCTTTCTTGAAATGCTGAAATTAAACAAGCAAAGAGTAATTATCAAGGCCTTTCTTAAAATGAATTACATCACTGCAACGACATTCTTGTATAGACGAGCAACATTTGAGTGTTTTGCCTTACTTCACACTGTGATTAATTCTAAAAAATTGCACCACCCTTCAACCAATCAGATGCAAAAATAAACCCACACGTGACTTGGACACCCGTGTTTTGCCGCGTTTACATAGTTTCTCGTTTGAATTGAGCTTGAGGGTTCACCTCTGTTCCCTTCAGTTACTGAGACTAGTTTGGTTTTGGTTTTCTACACACAGTTGGTTTGCGTTCTGAATTCTACCAAGCGTCGCTTCACCTTCACTGATGTAACCTAAAATATCGCCTACGTTTTTTACCTGTATTTCGCCACTTTTTGCAAATCTGCTCATAAAATTTAGCCTAAAAATTTAAATCTCGTCATTTGCAGTACGTATCATTCTTCTGCATTGTTAACCCTCCTCGTTCTTCTTGTTTTATCAGTTTTCTTTTGTGCTTTGTGCAACATGTAAATATTTTTTCCTTAGTTCACTCTGTGATGGGTATTCAGAACTTGTGCCACCCCTTCGACCAATCAGATGCAAAACTAAACCCACACGTGACTTGGGCACCCGCGTTTTTTCCCGCGCTTATGCAGTTTCAAATTCCCCGTCCGAAAAAGATACTGTTTCAATTCTTTTACCTCAGTTTTACTCTTTGCAGTTTCCTCTTCCATATCTTTAGCTTTATGAGATTTCCGAAGCTGCTCCAGTTGCACTTTCTGTGATTTTAGTTTGGATTTGTTCTTGGACAATTGCTCTTCCAACTCCTTAACTTTGTCTTCCAGTTTTTTGTTAGATTCTTTGAACTTGTTCTTGTAACTGTTTGCGTCTTCCAGGTCTTTCTTAAGCTACAAAGACGCAAAAATTAAACAGATTTGATTGGTCCTGAATGCTCACGCTACCCTCTCGACCAATCAAATGCACAAACTAAAACCAATCATGACTAAGTCCGCCGCGTTTTCCGCGCTTAAGTAGTTTGCCTATTTCACTGCGAGTTCTCATCGGCGGTGATGTTATTCTTACTGTGGTTTCTTTTGCTTTGGTTTCACCTTACTCCCCTGAAGTGCGCCCTATTAAAATAATTTCACCTTGGAGATTTCTTTCTTGTGTTTCGCCCGCGTTTCCTGCAAGTCTTTTTGTCCTCTTCGAAGTACTTCTTCCACTCTTTGCTCGACCTCTGTAGCCTTCTCCTCGCAGGACACTCGAATTTGATGATCTCTAAATGCAAGGACGATTCTAAGTTAAACAATACTCATGAAAATTTTGAACACTGATCAAAGAACAATACTATGAAAGAATTATTGAAAAACACCTTGCTTCCAGCAATTTTTCAAACTCCACTTGCTTTCTTCCTAATTCTGTCTGTAGCACCTCTATGTTGTCCTGCAGTTCTTTGTTCGCCGACAATAGTCTTTCCAGTTGCACTGACATTCCTTCTCGATCAACTTGCGCATCAGAGAGTGCTTCGCGTAATGGCCTAAGCTAAAATCCAATTGGTATTGGATAAAAAACTTAATAACTGCGCATCTATTCAAAAGGATCTCACTCCCCTAGCTACCAGACGAGAAGAGTATCGGGGGACTGGGGTGACTAGATGGGGTAAGGGAGGACTTTTTAAAAATTTCCTGAAAACTAAACTTAGATAAATTTTGTTTCCCTAATCCTCGCTCGCTCAGATTTAACGAATAATATTACATACAGTATGCATTTCTTTGATTGAAAACCTACATTGTTAAAGAAGGATGCTGTATCCAGCTGTAAAATGCCAGAGAAATTTTTACTGTAACACTATCTCAGTAACCCAAACGAATAAAATTAAAATTGCTGTTTTGGAGTTGTTAACAAGAGGAAACGAACGAGTGAGGAGCTTTATGAAGTATGGGAGGGGGTCATTGGAAACCTAAAGCTCCTGAAGGAAGGTTTGTCAGAGGAAGAGGAGGGGAACTTAGTA